ACGGCCTTATTCATACAGAAAATGAATTTTGTTGTTTAAAATAGAGAATTATCAAAAACGGGACATGTTCTGCAATTTATATTAGAGGCCTTGGCTGAAAAGGGGACATTCATACTCAGTCCCCATGGGAATATAAGTCCTTGGTGGGGAGAACAAGAACTAGACTCAGTGATCAGAATCACATCATATTGTTACCTGTCATTGTGAGCTACACATAAGGAAATGGGCTGTAGTCCACTGTAACAGCTTTTTTTATGTGCCATTGTTCAGTCATGCTGTACTGATTAGCCTGTGTGGTCTTTAAGACATCTCAAGTTGCTGATTTCCTTCGGGTGTTTCTCCCGAGAGATGAAATATACGGATTTACAGGATAGACTCCAACCATAGCACACAGTCACAGCTTTATTCAAAATCAAGGCTGATTGTGCTCTCGTTTCTCTGTACATGATCTAGTCCCAAACAAAGATGAGTCATGAATCATCATGTAGACTTTCAGCCTTTTAAATCTAGCTCTGCATCTTGCTAGTTGGAGAACCCTGGGAAATGAGTTAACCTTTCTGAGTTTGCTTTTCCTTTGACAACATGTGGAAAAGAAATGTGAGGATGTTTTAATAAAACTCATAAAGATGATTAAAAGGTTTCCTTTGGGGCAAAGGAATTTGAAATGCAAGCACAGGAGCAGTCTTTACAAGAAAAACTATGCATGAGTTTAAAAACTCTTTTGCACCCAAATAAACTTAGGTTTTAATTCAATTTTCCACAAAGTGCTCAAGGTACTCTCATACCTATTTTTAAGACTGCTATATCAGAGACAGGGTATGTTAAGTGTCTGGCACTGCTGTTGTACGTGGGAGGTGCTTGATTAATTATTTCTACTATCAGCATTATTATTTTAGATAAAAGTGGATTCTGAAGTCTAGACTTCGAGAAACAGTAAATGAGCGAACTATAGAAAACTGGACAATGCTGTAAATGGGCTGCTGTGAAGACCAGTTCTTATCTCTTTTAGTAACTATTCAAGCAAATAATAAGCTCAACCAAAATACATAACACCTGTTTGACTGTCTTTATCATATTTAATTAGTTTTTTATTAGAAAACCCTGAAGAATTTATTATCTAATATCAAGGGTACAGCTGCATGTTCTAGGTATCATATACATATATATATACATTTAAATATATGTATGAAAATGCACATTTATAAAAAATATTTATTTGAAGGGTAAAAGAGACAGAGGGAGAAAGCAAAAGAGAAAGTGGTTTTCATCCACTGGTACATTAGCCAAATGGCAGCAACAGCCAGTCTAGGCCAGCTCAGAGCTAGAAACCTGAAATTCCATCCTGGTCTCCAATATGGGAGACAACAGTTCATGTTCTTAGTCTATTACACAGTACGTTCACAGGTATATTGTAAGGTGATTGGATCAGAAATGGAGCATCCCGGATGTGAACTGGCAATACTGAATACCAGTGTGGCAAAGGGTGACTTAACTCCACTGCCACAATGCCTCCCCCAAATACCCAATAATTGTTAAATAAATGAAAATCATTGGGAAAAAAAATGTTTTTATTACTATTACTTCTTTTAAAAAGGAACTATTTTGGTTATCTGAAAGGCAGAATCACCAGAGAGATTTTTCATTTGTTGCCTCACTCCCCAAAAGGCTTCACAATGGTTGAACCTGGGCCAGGCCAAAGCCAGGAGCCAAGAGTTTTTCCCACATCCCTCACGTCACCTGAGTACAGGGACATAGGAACTTGGGCCATCTTCTACTGGCTTCCCCAGAGCACTCTCAAGGAGATGGGTCAGAAGTGGAGGAGCTGGGACTCTAACTGGCACCCATATGGGGTTCTGACACTACAGGCAGACACTTAGCCCATACATCACTCTCCTGGCCTGGTTTACTATTAATTTTTAGAACTATTTTGAACCTAGTTTTGTGATCACGTGAAACTTGCTGTTTTATAAATCCCAGACAGAAATGGCTTTAAAAAAGTTATTGTTTTACACGCCTGTTTTTTTCCACCAGATTACAAACCACATGCCTTAACCATCTTTCCACCATTCATCTAAAAGTGTTTACTGAGTGCCTATGAACACTAGGCATTAGCATATGGTACTAAATTAACTATGCATGTAGTCCTGGGTAGACATGTTTCCAAGTGGTAGTGATACGCCTGTTTTGACTTTATGTATTGAATGTTTCAGAAGGAAAAAAAAAAGCTTTGTTGAGAGAGATCATTCTCTTCGTGTGAACCCCAAGATAATTGCTAGTTGTCACAAGGCTTGATGGTATTTGGAGAAGAAAACACTCTGAGAGGAAAAATGCAGGCCATTTTCAAGTAGACCAACATAAGAGGGAAATGGCTGCATTTACAAAAATCACTAAACTGAATTATAAATGATACCAGCTAACTACTCCAATGTGTTTGCTAAGAAATAAACAGCCAACACTTTAGCTATAACTGTTTTCAGTAAGCAGTTTTTCCATCAATAATGGATCACTATATGTCATAAATATTTTTTCCAGATATCAGCTACAGACAGCTTTTAATGGCTTTAGCAAATGGGAGAGAGAAACCTTTCCAAGTTTCACCTTGCTTATATGCAAGTGAATAATCAACTAATTGTTATTTCAAAACAAGTTTCTATGATCACTGTGTCAAAGGAAAATGAATGAAATTAAATTTCAGAAAATGTACATTTTTAACAATAGCAGTCTAATGCTCATTTTGGGTCTCAGTGAGTAGAATAACACTATGTAAATTTTGCTACAGGAATTCCTTTTATTATTTTATAATTTACTAATATTTATGGTAGCTATAGCTGAATCAAAACCTATATTTTGGCCAAATCCATTACCATTTAGTTAATATTCATTTACAATATATTTTCTGTTACAACCAGTACTTATTTTCACATTTCCATAAATTTCATTAGACTTGAAAAATAGTGCTTAAGGAACAGTAACGTTCAGTTTATAATAGATGGTTTCAACAATAGATTTTCTCACAGATTTTGTACATATTATTATGCGGTAAGTTAAAGGCGAAATGGTATAGTTATGAGGTATGTACAGCAATACTCAATATTTATAATACATGACAGCAATAACACTACATCATCCTAAAATAAGAGGTACGTGACTTCTATTATTCAGAGTTCCAATTTTAAATAATAGCTAGCATTTCAGATCATCTATCAAATTCTATTTCCACTGATTATCTAATTATGATCTTAATAAATCATAGCCAAACACATACAATTTAGAAGTATGTTATTTATTATAAAAATTAAAAAAACCACAGTAAGTTCATGAACCAAGAAATAAAATAGACACTACCAATAGAATCTTTAGGGAAATCAATAATTCATAAGAGACTCTTATTTTATTACCCATGACAATAAAATAATGACACTATGGTACTGTCCTAAGGCTTCAGAATGTTTTTATAACCATGCTATCTACTTTATTAGAAGGAACCTGTGGTGATAAGTTATCGGTTTTCTCAAATATCCTAATAAAATGCTTAATTTAAACCCTAGTAGGCATCCAAGTGAAGGAATAGGCAGTGCATTAGCCACTCATTTACAATTCAGTAGCTTTCCAGCCATAGCTCTGCCAGTAACTATCACATCTATATAAACTTCTACGATTCACTTAAAAAGTGAATTAGATGTGCTTCTGAATTCCTTCAGTGTTAACTGACCTTTGTTTCCATGATACCTCTGTTTGCATTAGTCTTCATGAGAATAAAGAGATGCATACAGTGGTAAACAATATGTAGTATCAATAAAGCTGCTGCCTGTGATGCCAGCATCCCATTAGGCTCCAGTTTGAGTCCCGGCTGCTCCATTTCTGATCCAGCTGTCTGTTAATAGTCTGGGAATGTAGAAGATTGATCCACATGTTTGGGTCCCTGCCACCCACATGGGAGACCTTGGAGAAGCTCGTGGCCTCTGCCTGGCCCAGCCAGGGACATTGGGGACATTTGCAGATTGAATGAGGGGATGGAAAATCTCTTCCTTTCTTTGTGAAGCCTGAATTTCAAATAAATCAAAATAAATAAATAAATAAATACATCATAACTACACACACACAGCAGGGGGCAGCACAACACTTCTGATCTTTGTATTTTTGATCAAACTACCCTTTAAAACTTGGAAACTTTCATCTATTCTAATCTTTAAGCAGCTTAAAAAAATCTAACAGTCTAGATGGTTCTGGCAGTATCTTCATTATTGACTGTCACAGGGGCTTCATTTGTAGTCTTCAAGTCAGATATGACTGACAAAGTAAACTGAAGGTAACACAGGAATATTTCAGTTTGAGTTATGAAAGAAACATGTATTCAAGGCTATTTTTGCAAATGAAAATTAAAATGCACATCAAATAATGGCCTGGGATTCTTGTCCCCAAGTCTTCTCTAAATAACTCCCTGTTCTTAGTTTTATTGATTAATATTTTAAATCACTATGGTTTATAGAATGATGGTTGCTAAATTAACATACAATTGACCTCATATTTAACTGGTCCAATGAATCAAGTTAGATGTCACAATTTTTCAGAATAAATTTTTATTTACACGGAGATATACACCTAAAGGGCACAGATTTTGAATTTGTTTTCTCTTTCACAGTAAAAAAAAATAAAATAATGCTGCCTTAGATCAACAGGGTCAATAAAAGGTAGAAAAAACTGGATGTAAAAAAGACTTTGTAAATACATCTGTTGCAATCCCTAAGGCAATAGCCTTGTCAGGAAGTATTATTTATTCATGTTTTAGTTAGAAGTTGCCACTGTACACTGTGAAATGCTTAACACATCGAAAACAGATAATACGATATAAACCTTTAACCAATTTACCTTAAAATATAACACATGACTCACAACTTTTATGTAATGTGCAAACACATGCTACTTCAGCATGAGAGGGGAGGGCAGCAGAAAGGCTCATGAAACATTAATATCGCTTTGAAAATAATGAATATATTTACCTGCTGCAAAAAGCATGACGGCAACAGGTCTGTAGAAGCGCCTTCGAGATCCCACGCAGATGGAAATCAGACCCACTAGGAATGCAATGAGGATGATGGCAGCTCCGCCCAAGAGTAAAGCCAAAGTAGCAATCTGCCAATCTGGAAAGCAAAAAGAAAGGCATTGCCATGCAGCACCAAGTCCTCAAACAACCAACAGAGCTGTGCTTAGCAGCCTACCCCGTGCTGTAGCTCAACATCTGTGACTTCACTGCAGGCTAAGCATCCTTTGGGATTTGAAATGTTTTGCAACAAAAAAAAAAAAAACTAATAGAAATATCATTATTCAGAAAAGTCTATTTTGTTGAACTCAGCAGATCATTTTCAGACCACGGGTCTGCCAAACTTATAAGGACTATACAGAGCATTCATTTATTTTTTTTTAAGTTTGTATTGAACTATAATGCTTACAAATTTGAAGTAGAAAAGTTGATGAATTCATATATATTTATGCACCAGCATAACTATCATCCAGGTTAAAACAGAGATATTGTCATCACCCAGCATGCTCCCTTCTATCCTTTCTCAGTCAACAACCCCACTCTCTGCTAGCCGAATGGGAACATTGATCTTCAAGAATTAGTTTTGTCTGTCCTTTGAATGAATTCTTCTGTATCTGGTTTTAGCCCTCAGATATTTACCCAATATTGTATTGGGTTGTTCCTTCTTGGCAAACATCCCCTCACCTTGTAAACATCCCCCAGCTTTGGGGCAAGCATCTGGTGCAGCAATTAAGACTGCACTTGGGACACCAATATAACATGGGAGTCATGGGTTTGAGTCCTGCTCCACTGTGGTTCTTGCTTCCTGCTTATTATGCCCACCCTGGGAGGCAACCTGTGATTGTTCAAGTTGTTGGGTCCTTGCCACCTGTATAATAGACTCAGATTCAGTTCTCGACTCCGTCTTCAACCTGGCCCAGCGAAGCAGCAGACACAAGAGCTTTCTGTCTCTCTGCTTTTCAAATAATAAAATATGTGTATTGACTAAAGTTTTTATTTGCTCCTCTTCCCACTGAACAAGTCATCAGTAAATTATTTGAGATTTGCTGTCTCTGTTCTCTTTTTAAATTTTAATCTCAGTGGCATATTTACCACACTATAGGGATGGTTCTCACATAGGTTTCACCATGAAATAAAAATGCACTCTCAATGGCTGTGTGACTCTTTTTGCTCCTACAGGGCAAAAATAAGCACATACTGACCACTTATTACATGCAGATCTCTGTACAGGGAAGCTTCAAAAGCATCTCATATATTCACTGGAATGAAAACCTCATTGGAATGCAGTTGTCATTTCTTATAAAGATCTCAAAATGGTATGACAGAATGCTGGCCTATTTTCCATTCATAAGAATCTTCTCTCAAAAAAACCAAGTAAATCTATGAAAGTATCACATGGATTAGGAAGCACCACGTAAAATGGTCCTGTTGGTAGTAGCTTTTTAGCACAGGGGGCCGTTTGGAAGACTCGGGCTGCTTCTTAGGGTTCAGCATAATGCATAGGGAATGTAAGTAGATTTTAATCTATTGTAAATGTTACGTATTCAACCCAAAGTGCAGAATTCATGGTATTTTGATGCTTCCCTCTAAAATTATTCCCTAGGAAGCTTCCAAAGTGCAGCCTTTGCCACCATAGGATAAAAGCTAAGTGGAAGAACCTACAATAACCTAAAATTTTCTTCTTCTATTTATACTTGTACATCCCTGACTTAAGTGTTCTCTTCTGTATCTTTTCTTCCTAAGAAATTCATTGGCACTCAACTAGAACTTGCACTGCAATCAGGAAACAAATAAACAAGGGGAAAATAGAACAAATCCACACTGCTTAAAATATAAAGATGAATCACAAAAAATGTGGAAAGCATTTTTTATGCCATCTATTTGTAACAAAGCCATGTAACTTCAAACAAAATTATATCTGGCTTTCAACTGCAAGTTAAAAGGACAGCCATACTATGGCTTTTTATTCCCTAACAGCATGTTGCTTTGAATTAAAAAGTAAAAAGAATAATTCTTACACTTGGAAGCCTCTAAAATTTCTTTAGAAAAGGTTATATATAATTCAGTTATATTGCATTTTACCACAATGGAAATCTTTCTAAAAACTTGTGTACGTTGAAATGTTTGAATTTAAAAAAAAAATCAAAATTTAATTATATTAAAATTTTCAAAGTATAAGGAAAACAAAAATCTACCCATTCATTACCCAAGTATTTTCAGAGTTTGTTTACAAGGCCCTGTGCCAAATTTTTTCTGATCAACCCATTAATTTTACAACATCTTTATTGATTTTAGTAACTATCCACAATTTATTTACTCGAGAAATTGTCCATGTGTAGGCTCACTTCCCATATGGCATCAAGAGCTGGGACTAGGTGGGCATTCCATCCAGCTGAGCCTTACACAGTGATTGGGGAGAGGGGAAACAAGTGCTCTGGGGCATCGTTCACTGACTTCCCAAATGCATTAGCAGGAACTGGGTTGGAACTGGAGCAGCTGGGATGTTAACTAACACTCTATTTCTTTTTAAAGATGTATTTGGTTTTTATCGAAAAAGCAGATTTACAGAGAGAAAGATCTTCTATCTGCTGGTTCATTCCCCAAATATGGCTACAATGGCCGAAACTAAGCCAGTCCAAAGCCAGGAGCCAGGAGTTTCTTCCAGGTCTCCCACAGGGGTGCAGGAGCCAGGATATGAGCCAGTTCCCATATGGGATCACAGTGCATGCAAGGTGAGGACTTTAGCCATTAAACTATTGCACTGGGCCCTTAACTAATGCCATGATACAGAATTGTGACTTGGTATACACAATACTAGCCCTTAGAAACTCTCCTTAAGATTGTTGCATATAAAAATGAATTTGTAGAGTATTGCCTTTGTATGCCACAAGTAAATATCTATTCAGTTAAACACTATCTTAAAATAGATTGACTTTCCTGATAAAACTCTTTCCTATAAAAGCTCAGTATGCTTGAAATGCCATATAATTGGCTATTTCTGCTTACAACCCAAAAGCAAACAAGAATTTAATAGTTTTTATCAATTTTAAATATTCTCAAATAGCTAAAATGTTTGCTTGCATTTTATACAAACTAAGAAAAAAATGAGAAAGCTTTTCTTTTATTAAGCACAAGATAATAAAGATTTTCAGCTGTGAAGGCCAAGGTCTTTGTTGTACATAGTCATATCTGCCATGTATTATGAAAACATCCATAGGCAAATATTAAGGGTCATGCATCAATAAAACTACTTGCAAAAACAGGTGGTGGGCTGGTAATGAGCTGGGTTTGCTAATATTTGCTCAAATATTGACTTTTTCCATACATGAAAATAACAAAAATCACGCAATGAAGACAATTTCATAAGTGAATAATACAGGAGTGAAAAATGTGGCTTTTTCAATAGAGTAACAGAAAAATACAAAAATATTCATCTCATGTTAACACTGACTTTTCTTGAAATAGTAATATTGCATTATTTCCATATTTCTTATAAGCAATAAAATGTAGAAGGGACCAATAAAACAGTTATTTAAAAAGGGGTTAGAACTTCATTAGGAAACTTCTCATAGCATAGAAAATACTTCGAAAACGTAGTTAAACATAACCAGTTCTACAATTTCTCTATCCTACTTTTATTTTTAGTCTAATTGTAGCTAATGAGAAAGATGTGCTAGACTTAAGTTTGACAAGAAGTCACTGATACCGGGCTCAGTGCAGTAGCCTAGTGGCAAAAGGCCTCATCTCACATGCATAGAGATCCCATATGGGTGCTCATTCACATCCCGGCAGCCCCGCTTCCCTTCCAGCTCCCTGTCTGTGGCCCGGGAAAGCAGTTGAGGACGGCCCAAAGCTTTGGGACCCTGCACCCTCATGGGAGACCTGGAAGAAGCTCCTGGCTCCTAGATTTGGATCGGCTCAGCTCTGGCCATTGCAGCCACTTGGGAAGTGAATCTGCTGATGGAAGATCTTCTTCCCTGTCTGTCTTTGCAATAAGAATAAGCAAATCTTAAAAAAAAAAAAATTAAGAAAAAGAAGTCTTGGATATCACCACTCTACAGATATTGCTGTCCTTCCCCTCTGAACCACAACCAGAAATGGCACTTCTCTGAACAGATTTTTTTTTTTTTGTAATTTCCTGAGAGATGAGAATTGGGCAATGAGTACTACTGTCCTGGCCAGAAGCTGGGACTTCTGACTGCAGTCTTGAGATACCTCCTTTGGTGGATGGCACCGCATTCAGAGTTATGGCTCTGAAATGATTCACTGGACCAAAAGCATTCACTACAGTGATTGCTCTCAACAAAAACTTCGAATTGCTGACTAGCTGAATCAGAAAGCCAGAAGAGTGGTTAGACATGGCTACCACAGCCAAGGAGACACAGAGCAATTTTCAGGGTTCAGTCTGGAAATTTGGGGATTGAGAATAGGGCTGTGGCATTGTATCTTTCTTAATAAGCAACTAGAATCCATTTTCCAAATACAGCCAGCCTAAAAGGTGAACCAAAGTTAGGCAAAGTGCATAAATTGGCTCACTATCATTTCCCTTTCTCTTGCTGAACAAGACTAAGAGATGAGGAATAATAAAATTTAAGAAAAAAATTAAAAATAACTTATAGGTGCCTACTAATGGCCATTTAAAAAAGCTGGGTTTCATATTTACACAGATAGATATTTCCATAGCAACCAAAGTTCGTTACTAGATTTAATAAAAATTATAAAGTGTTTTATTGTATACTACAGGATTTCAACAATTTCATAGCAATATTATAATGACCCTCAAACTTGTCCCTAACAATGTTTCCATTAAATATTTGCATGCCACAAATATTTGCTAACCTATATGAAATGTTTGTAAGCCAACCAAAATATCATAAAAGTATCGATTTTCAGCCCCTTATTTTCAAAGAAAGTTATGTATTTTACATTCATATAATCAGTTAAGTACTGTATCAATCTTAGTTCTTCATTTATGACCCTCACGGTATTTAATAGGATAAAACTTAAGAGTCCTTAAAGATCTACTACTTTCATTAGGTTCCCACATTTTTATAAGTGACACACTCATATTGTAGAGGAGCAGTGAACACAAACCAGCCC